TCTTGGTGGAAGCAAACAGATCGATCTGGGCTTCCCTGAAACGCGCCCATATCAGCTGGACCGAATCGGGGTGGAGTCTCCACTCCCTTCAGGACACTAGCTGCCGTGAGAGCGCACTGGCTGCACGGTTGAGCTCGCCCGGAATGTGGATGGCACACAGCGATTTCAGCCGCGTGTGACTTCAAAGGAGCAGACGGCGAGCGAGCTGAGTCCTGACCAGCATGTGTTTCCGCTCCAGCACCGGTAAAAAGTGTCGGAGAGCCAGATACACTGCCGACAGCTCCAGGCAGTTGATATGCCAATGCAGGCGGGGTCCGGACCACGAACCCGCGGCTGCATGCTTGTTGTACATGACCCCCCAGCCCATGCTGGAGGCATCTGTCGTCATGACAACATGCCTGGATACTAGCCCTAGGGGCACTCCGGCCCGTAGAAAAACCAGATCCGTCCAGGAGCTGAGGGTGCGGAGACACAGCGGGGTGGCGCGTACCCGCTGCATACGCGCGCGCCATGCCCGTCTGGGAACTCGATTGCAAAGCCAACGCCGAAGTGGTCTCATATGAAGCAAACCAAGTGGCGTGATTGCGGCTGCCGATGCCATATGCCCCAGGAGCCTCTGAAAACTTTTCAGTGGGACCACTATCTTCCTGTGGAGCTTGTTCGCACAGGAAAGCATCAGCCTGGCGCTCCTCAAAGAGGCGCGCAACCATAGCGACCGAATCCAGCTCCAGCCCGAGATGAGAGATCCCCTGCACGGGGCAAAGTTTGCTCTTCTCTCGGTTGACCTAAAACCCAACTGGTCGAGGTGCCGAAGCATTTTGTCTCTGTGCATAATCGGCTGATCGCGGAACGAGGCTATAATGAGCCAATCGTCACAAAAGCTGAGTATGCGGATGCCTGCAAGGCGCAGGAGCACAAGGGCAGCCTCCAAGAGCTTGGTGAAAACCCGCGGAGACAGAGAGAGCCTGAAAGGGAGGACTTTGTATTGCCAGCTGGAGGGCGGAGCGTCCCAGACTGGCAGTGCTCGGGTTTGCGCATCCGGAGAGAGAGGAAAGTGCTCTTTTGGAAATTTGGTTGCTGCTGGCCATTTTCCTGGCCAAGGACATTTTCAAGATGGTGCTGGCTAAAGATAAAGACTGGCTGTGAGATGGTTTGGATAACACAACTGAATGAAATTAAGCAGTTAAGGTAAAATAATTACAAGAAATTCTCTTAGTCTTTAAATAGAGGAACATAACAGCAGAGGAACAATTGTTTGGATGTTGTGTAGAACAGAGAGATAAAGTTGAATAAAAGTGTTTGCATCTGATGTTTAAATAGCTGGTGTACGAATTCAGTAAGAAGTATTTATACTGCTGCAGCGAAAATGAACATTTTAGGAAACAAAAATGTAGCGTGAACTTTAACAGCATTTTGAAGCAGTCAAGTCAACTCAAGTCAATATTATTATTGTGAATACTGACAAGTTTTACAGAAACTTAGACTGTCTTTAAATGAAAATTTTATAGTCCATATCCAAGCAAGAGTCTTGATTATATGTGGTAATAGAGTTGTTAAATCCGTCTGTTCTTGTTTAATTGGTAATGCTTTCAAACAGGTTTTACTGTCAAATGACATTTATAAAAGATTTTAAACTAATCAAAAGTTTGAGCAAATAGCTAACCTGTGAGCATTTCTAAATGACCAGACAGTAAGAATCAAATGAATTTTATACAAGGTGTCTGCTTCTGATTATGTTGAATGGTTTAGTCAGAAGAAAGTAATATGGTACAAATGACAAGTTGAGAAGATTTAAGGTTTATTCTTATTTAGTTTTATCTTAAAAGATGCTTGAGTTTGAATGACTTATGTTTGATCTTTGTTGAATTTGATTAAGATTTTGTTAAACTCCTAAAATGTGGGAACAAAAGAAATGGATTCACAATCAAAAAATTCAGGGTCTGGCGCAATGTCAGGAGAGCAATAACAGTATTTATTCATTTAGCCCGGCTTCCAGGGAGTGAATTTGATATTAATTTGTTAACGTGAAGGTGAATTTGGCTCATTATAGGTTGCTTGCACACTTCCTATCAATGATACAGAGGATTGTGTTGCATCACTACAATCACATCATTATTTGAATACAAATATTTTTAAGTGGACTTGACTGACATGGAGTTTAGCAAGGTGATAATTAAACATGGTAATGATGCTGAATTGGACTATTGTACTGTTGGCATGTTTAATGTGTCTTAATGTAAAAATGTTTTATAATCCTAATTTGAAGTTACAGAACATGCTGATGAATCTTTTAAGACTGGTGAAGATAAAGATGTTTTTGCAGGTCATGAATTTGAATCCTCTGTGGCTTAGGTCTAGTGGATGACCTTTTGCGTCTGATCAGAGGAACTCTGAGTCTTAAAATTAGCCTGGATGTTTCGATTTATAGTTGGAGCAAGTTGCATCAGAGGATGTATCGATGAAAGTATGTTGTTTACCAGACACAGAAATAGTCGCGCGAACATTTGAGTTTACTCACTTCATTTGCGCGTCAAACCCCGCTTCATTCGTGTGTCAAATCTGCTTCATTCACGTGTCAAATTCACTTCAGAACAGACGCAGATCCGCGTGATGGGCAGGGCTTCTGTCTGCCCCGTGATTCTAGCTTCATAGCTAAAGGGCTAACATGGATTTTATGAAGAAATGAACTGTGTTCATGTGCTTTATAAAGGATGATAAACAGCGTCAATACGTGTAGGGCCGTGTCTTAGTCCACTACATCCTTTCAGAGGTGCATCCAGCTCTTTAAGCTCATAAACTCCTCCAGAAACTGAACCTGGCTGACGGAGGTTTTCAGCTGTGCTTCTGACTGAGCCAAGCCCAGTTTGATGAACTTGTTGTCAGTGTCTGCTGGGGGATTTCCCCTGCGACACCGACAACAGTCGATACGTCACAATCACGCCCCCACAAGAGCAAGCTCCTGATTGGTTAACGCGGTGCGAATGTCCGCTGAAGTTCAGATTTTCGAACTCGAGTGATTCGCGCGAAACGCGCATTAAGCACGTCAAACTCGCCAAGGCATTCGCGCACACTGTGCCATTCACGCAATTCTTGTCATTTGCGCGTATCGCGTCACAGGATGTCTATTCACGCTTGACGCGCGTTCCGTGTCTGGTGTGAACGCAGCATTAGGGCTTGCGCATTTGTGTTCATATTCTGGACTTTGGTCCGCTGTTTTGTTTCGTATGTTTTCACTTCCGCTTGCAGGACCCTCAATCCTACTGATGATGAGAAACGTCTAATGACACTGACGAACTGTCTTTGAAGCCGGATGGCTTGACGAATACACAGACGAACCCCATTGTGAGTAGAAGGTGGAAGAGCCCTTAGCTTGGGGACTGGAATTTTTAGGTTCCAGCATGTCCAAGAAAGGGCGAAGAAACCCTGTAACCTAAATAAGGGGGCATGAGTCATTACTTCCACTTTCTTTATTGACCTCACTGGTTGACCCGAAGCGGATTTTTCCACTTTCAGCCAAAAACAGGGGTATGAAGGAGTCGGATTTCTACCTTCAAATCCATCTCAACTTGAATCGACGTTTATCCTTTTTTCAACATCCTGTTTCACATTACTTTTATTAGATATAATTATTTGATTATTGTCTTTAACTTTTAAATTGACCTGAACCAATGAATAACTAAAACACTGCTTTATGTAAAAATGTTCAGTGTCTGCTCCTCTCCTTGCCTGTCTATTTTAACTGTTTTCAGGAGACACACAAAAACCAGATCATAGGTCAGCGAGATCTCTCTCTCCCTCTGAATGGAATTGCTGATGTAGAGGAGAGAAAAAACACCTTTTCTATTTGTTATGATATTGTCTACAGTACTTTAGCTGTTTTTGATTGTTCTGTTTTGATTGTTAATTCTTATTTAAGTACTTCCTTTTGTATGTAGATAGCCTCTTGTGTAGTAAGGATATTGTAGCCGAATGTTGATGGAACCAGTCTTGATTCAGTTTGATAAAACAGCTGAACGTACAAAAAAAAACAACCTTGAGTTTCCACAACTGATTGTCTCTAGCGTCTATTGTGTCCTTGGTTTAACTTGTACAGGTCGGAGATCAGCTCTTAATAACTTAGGGTTGGCCTGACCCCCAGGAACCATGTCGCCATCCATATCTGGAGCAAGATACAATACTTCATTGACGCAAGCATTTAGAATTGTCTATTTTTGCTGTAACCAATGAGAACTGTTTAACTGGATCCCACATTTTCTGGACTTGTGTAAAGAGTATAATTTCTGCATTGTTGTACTGTAAGTCAGAGCGGCCTAGGAACTCATTGCGAGTGTTAAAGCTGGCTTCTGCTGATGAAACTGCAAACTATCTTAAGTAAACTTCATTTATTTATTTGAATCTCTGATTCCAGTTCTTCTTCATCAGACAGACTGGTCATTCTTTGGGTTAAACTGTATTCCATCCCTACAGTAGTAAACTAGAAAGAATCTTGAACCTAAATGTAAAGAAACTTTATTAATAAAAGATGCAACACAGGACAAATGAATGGGCTTTTTAAACTTTAGGCCCTGGTATACTGAACACTAATCGTCCTGGAGCTCCACCCTCTTTAATGTGTGGTGTCTTCCCAGTGATTTGTTTCTCATTCAGGGAGTCAGACAGAGAACATCATACAAAACAATACTAGCTACATGCATACACTAGAGAGTAGAGTACAACCTGTACAATCACTTGCAAACAGATTTTAAGCCGCAGAGGTGCTGTTCGCTAGATATTAATAAAACTGTTCTTCACTCAGCCGCCATTATTGTGTTTACATTAAACGCGACACATTTACAACCCCACATACTGCATTTTGAAAGTGTTGGAAAACAGTATGCCGTCACTCAGCCTTTTCAAACATTATTCAGACATGAAACATCCTGTGCACATGAGAAAATGTTTTGCTGCATTCATGTCATGTGTGCAACTTTTTGACCATGTGTTTCTTAAGCTGCGCCGAATAAGCGAAACTCTGTAGACACTGATTAGGTCTGTACGGTTTCTCTCCAGTGTAAATAATCTTTTGTGTTGTGAGATGTATTAACTGGTTAAACCTCTTGTCACAGTGTGAATCGTCTGGTTCAATTTTGGCACTGTAAGTAAAGTCTTCACACACTCAAGCACACATACTCTTTCACACCAGTGTGGATCTTTATAAGTTCATTAAGGTTTGCTGATCGGTTAAAACTCTTTTCACACTGAGTGCATGTGAATGATTTCTCTCCAGTGGGTCTTCATATGTTTATTAAGGTCTGAGGAGTTGCTAAAACTTATCCCACACCGAAGCTGCGTTCACACTAGAGTTTGAGCATGCGTTGTTTGGTTTCTTTCCAGTGTGGACCCTCAAGTGTAGATTAAAGGATGACGATTGGCTAAAACACTTCCCACACTCAGTGCATGTGAAAAGTTTCTCTCTAGTGTGGATCCTCATGTGTTTATTAAGGTGTGATGATTGGCTGAAACTCTTCCCACACTGAGTGCATGTGAATGGTTTCTCTCCAGTGTGGATCCTCATGTGTTTTTTAAAGTTTGATGATTGGTTGAAACTCTTCACACACTGAGTGCATGTAAATGGTTTCTCTCCATTGTGGATCCTCATGTGTAGATTAAGGTTTGATGATTGGCTGAAACTCTTCCTGCACTGAGTGCATGTGAATGGTTTCTCTCCGGTGTGGATCATCCTGTGAATCTTAAGTGTGCCTTTTGTTGCCAAACTCTTTCCACACTGAGTGCAGGTGAAACAATTCTTGTCTCTCCTTTTCAAACTACCATCAGTCTGTAAATTAGTTTTTTCCTCAATTTTGACATGATGTTTCTCCTCTTTACTCTCCTCATTCTCTTCAATTAGGTCTAAAATAAATAAAACATGTTTTCATTAAGTCTTTAAAAACTTTCATCAAAAGCTGAAAAAGTGAAAAGACACTGAAAACATTGGCTACACACACTGTAATTTTAATGCACATTAAATGTAAAATAAATCAGATCATATTTTGTTTGGTCCATTAATGTGTACACATTTAAGCAGATTAAATTCAATTAATCTTTATTTATCTAGTGCTTTTACAATGTAAATTGTGTCAAAGCCACTTAACATAGAAATTATAGTAAATTTAAACTGTGTCAGTCCAGTTTTCAGAGTTTCTTACATAATTGATCATAAGTCATTTTGGTTATATTGATAAGAAAGATTTGAAAGCCTGTTTTTATTCGTATTTGTTAATAATTACAACAAAATGTTTGTCTAAAATGTGTAAAGCAGATAATACTTGTTTATTCTGTGCCTGACTGGTAAACACATCAGAAAAAAAAGTTCTGGGGTAACAGCTGAACAAACAGCTGAATATTTTGCCTCGCACACATGAGACATACCTGTACAGCATCTACATAAGAGCTGGAATTTGCACCTTTTCCCCCTTGTGTGCTGTTGGGTCATTTTCATCCATTCTGAGGTGATTTTGAGGGCCAAAACGTTCTGTGTTTCAGCAAATGAACTGATATTTGGGGACATCTTATTTTGACATGTTCTGGGAAAATGCTTTGGGGGGGAAAAAAACAATACACTCTGGGTAAATTTACTCCCTTTTCATGGCTGTTTTTTCACCATTGGCCTCTATTATAACAACATTATTTGGATTGCAAAGCCATGACAGCATATAATCATGAATTTATGATTGTTGGAGTTTTCTGTGATGACACTCTACATTGTTTAATTGGTCTCCACTCACGGGATGGCAAAAAAGAAATTGGTGAGATTATAAAAGAAGAGCAGAGTTGAAGAGGTCATTATGTGGTGTGCTGGAGTAAGAGAAGTTGACTGAACTGTTGCAGTGCGGGAAAACGAGAAGAGAAACTGGGTTGAAACGATCAGTGTAAACTTAACGACTGGTTGTGAGAAACAAAAAGCGAAAGTACTATTGAAGCAAAAGGGCAAAGACTGCTGTCTTATTACTAAAGTGCTTATGACGTCGGCAAAGACGAATTTTGTTCAGGACCCACTGCACTGGAGTCAGCTGCCGACTCACCGGCTGAGTTCATTGACGCCCTCAACCTTCACATCCACACCTCCACATTCGCCATTTCCCTTGACCCCTCCGCTCCGTGGATAAGAAGCAAAAGTTTTTAATTTCTTTGCCCAAATTCTCATTTTGTTTCTCTTGTTAAGTTTTCTCCCCGTTCTATTATTACCAGTATTATTTGTCCCCGTTTTCAAATCTTACGAATCTGCTGGCCTGAAATAATTAGCATTTTTTTCTTTTGACACGAATGGTGTGGTGTGAATGGCGCGATACACGTGAATGACGCAGTGCGACTTGAGCGTAAACTTAAGCGGACATTCGCGCCGCGTTAACCAATCAGGAGCTTACTCTTGTGGGGGCATGATTGTGATGTAGCATCAGTTGTTTGTGTCCCGGGGGAAATCCTCCAGTCGACACCGACAACAGTTCACCAAACTGGGCTCGGTTCAGTCAGAAGCACTGCTGAAAGCCTCCGTCATCCAGGTAAAGTTTCTGGAGGAACTTATAAGCTCACAGGGCTGGTGCATCTCTGAAAGGATCTAGTGGACTCAGACACAGTCCCAAACGTATCGACACATTTTTTCAGTGTTAATAAAGAACATAAACACTATTATTCCCTCAATAAAATCCATGTTAGCAACAAAGCTACTTCGCAGTGAATTTGACCAACGAATGAAGCGGAATTTATGTGCAAACGAAGCGAGTAAACTCAAATGTTCATGCAACTATTTACGTGAGAATATCGCAATTTATCCGTGCATTCCGCGTCTGGTGTGAACACAACATAAGAGGGAAGAGTTTCAAGAAAGAATCTGAAAAAAAAGTATAAGTTTGTAGATTTTCTCGTTTGCAGTTTATTTAAAATATATTTAACTATCACACAAAATAACTTGAGATACACTTGTGAGAGTCAGTACACTGTATTAAACTTTGTACACTATATAAACTTACATATAGCAAATCTACTGATAAAGTTACTTGATAAAGATTGTAAGATTTGTAAAAGCCCAGTGTGAGACTTTAGCTGCATCCCAAATCGCATACTTATGCACTATTTTATGCCATTTTGTAGTATAACTGGTGTAAGTAGTGCTTTCAGATTGAAAACTCTAAACACAATAAGAGCACTTTAATTACCCGGATGATGCACTCATTCAGCTGGTAAAATGAAGTGTGGAATAATGGACACCACGCACTCATCGACTGCAGGTTTAAAAATAACACTTTTGAAAGTGTTAACATTATCAACATCAAGAGAGTGTTAATTAGCGAACTCTTATTGTGTAAAATATTTGTTAAATTTCTGAAAAAAATACCAGCAGCTATGGTTGCCAGAATCTTTCTGTGAAAAATATGGAAGTTTTATAGAACTGTATAAATGTACAAAAAATAACCATATTTCATGAACTGATACAATGTTCAGTTTACAAAATCACAGCTTAGTGCACAAAAATGTAAAGTCTTTAGATGCAATAATATGTTCATGTGTGATTGCAACTAGCAAACAGATTTTGACTGCATTAGTAACTACACAATTACCTTTAAACAAAAGAAGATGCAGCATAACATCAAATACTCTCAGTTCATCTTGGACTTGAACATAGACACTATTATCCTCCAGAATGGTGACACAAAAACCGTTTTGCTGTTTTTCTTTTCTTTTTTGATTTAACGGAAAAATACCGGCAGCTGTGGTTGCCTGTAAACTGCTGTTTTCAACATTTTACATTCATAAATTCAGTTTACAGAATATTTCTGTTAAAAACAAATTCCACAGTCTGTATTTTTTATCGAACTCACACTGCAAATTTTAGATTTAGTAGATTTAACTACCTTAGAGTTAAAATTAACACTCCCTCAGTGTTTATATGGGAACCACTATAAGTGTTAAATAACACTTTTGAAAGTGTTAAAATTTCTAACACTCAGAGAGTGTTAATTAGCAAACTCTTATTGTGTAAAATATCTGTTAAATGTATGTCAAAATACTGGCAGCAGTGGTTGCCAGTAATCTGCTGTTTTCAACATTTTACATTAAAAAATTCAGTTTACAGAATATTTCTGTTAAAAATACATTCCACAGTCTGTTTTTTTCATCAAACACATTTAACCCCTTAAATCCCAGAGCAAAATCGTCACTAGTGTCCTCACTACAGAGGGCTGAACACTCAGACAGTGATGAAGTTAATGAGACAATTAAGTGTCTAATTAAAGGAGGATTGAGAATTGTTGATGAACAACTGTTAACAAGCAGAATCACTGAAGGAAAGAAAAACACAAATTACAGCCAAAACTAAAGATGAATTCAACTGGGAAAAAAAAACTCTAAATAAAATATAAATAAATAAAAATAAAACAAATTACAGACTAAAATCTTTTTATTTTTCAACATCTTTAAAACAACTCATCACATTAAACAACTCATGGAGCTTCACTTATTACTGATCTTTGACTTTATTTCTGTCATGTGAACAAAAGCTCTTAATGAAATTTCTGTTGTTCATTTGGTCACCATGATGAAGGACAGTCTGCTTTAGTTGGGGTCTTTAACTGCTTGCTTTAAAATATATTTTACTTTGCTGCTATAACTAATAGTGTTATTTACAGTACTTATACATGCATGCAGCATAACTGTGATATCAAAGCTATCCTCTCCTGCTTGTTCTCTAATTCAGTATCATATTTTTATTTGAGAAATGAATAATTTATATTAATGTAACCACAGAAGCTTAAACAATTAATGACTGTTTAACACACAGGTGTCAAACTCAGTTCCAAAAGGGCCGCAGCTCTTCACAGTTTAGTTCCAACCCTACTTAAACACACCTGATCAAACTATTTGAGTCCTTCAGGCTTGTTTGAAACCTACTGGTAAGTGTGTTGGAGCAGGGTAGGAACTAAACTGTGCAGGGCTTGGGCCCTCCAGGAATTGAGTTTGACAGGATTATAAATACCATTTACAATGAGAATGTTTGATCTATGGCAAAACTCAAAAACACCCAGACATCAACAATTAGTCTTCGAATCTCAATACTGGTGACAAACAAAAATTTTATTTAAAAAAAAAAAAAAAAAAAACAATCTACTGAAATATCACCTCCCAAAAAACAACACAAAAGAAAGGAAAAGAAAGATTGTAAGAACACAAAGCTGAATAATTTATTGATGCTGCAATGCATGCTGGGAGCTTTGAACTAAGCTGGCACTCAGCATGCATTGAGGCATGAACTATGCAGCTTTTTTTCCTTTTAGCAACCACGGTTGAGGTTCATGTCCTGATTCTTGATGCCTGTGTGTCTTAAAGAGTTGCTGGAGTTTAGTGCATAACACTCTAAATATTAATTGCATCTTAATTGTTTGTTGAACCTCTATGTAGAACAGTAGACTGCCAGTAGTATTGTCCCATACAGCTTCAATACAAATATGTTTGCATTTTTTTTATGAATGAACTTATAAAACACTAGATATTATATCTATAACAATTAAGCACAAACAGTAGAGCTTCTCACAACATTCCTTGCTATAATTGATCAGTTTTAGAAATCCAGCTACAACAGCCAGAAAAACATTAAGATAGAAGAGTAAAGCTTCAAGACCTCAACTAAGCAGCCTCTGATCTCCATGA